ACCACTCTCAGTAAAACTTTCTTCTCTCCTTTAGTTGAGACGGGAAAAGATTGACCTTGAAAATACATTGGAACAGGAACAAGAAGCACTAGTTAATCGTCTCTGGAAAAGGATGGACAAACTTGAAGCTGAAAAGCGGTTTGTATAGTCTTGCTGTTCAGTACAGGGGGGAGTGTGTGTGTCTGGAGTACTGCTGTGGGCGTGCCTGAGGGATAACAAGGGGACATTTTAATTCCTTGGGTGATACACGTCATTTTAATTTGCCAAAGGAAAAAAATGTTGAATGCCTTTCGAGCTATTCCCGTGCTGGTCACCTCTTTATTCTTTGCTGTCTTAATGTCCTAGTAGAATCTCTTTTCCTTTGAGGTCACAAGGCTGTGACGGAATTAGTCATGGGGCTATTGTTCACCTTTACATTGTCTTCAAGGATGGTTACAGTTTCAACATTTCACCTTACCAAACTGTCTTCCTCAGTTGTTTTCCAAAGTACTTAGAATACACTAGGTACTGTTAATTACTACACATATCTAGAATTTATTTCATTGAGAAGGCTGAGATTTTAATATGTAGAAATATTACTATTTGTTTTAAGACCTACTGTAAAGAAGTACCTGTCCATGTTTAAGGTTAGGATTTCTTGTGTTGAATGTGTGTATGTGGATATGAAATGTCATGCAACAGCAAACATTTCTTCAACCCTTTTATGCAAGTTATTACTAGTCAGTCTTCCTTTGTGGAGTGCAGTTGGAAGTTTTACATATGTTAATGCCAAATTATTGGATTGAACAATATGAAATTGTCATTTTTTAGGTCAAAAACTATTGAATATCAGCATTTTAGATGCTTCAACCTAAAGATAATTGGTGCAGAAGGTGGTACCACCAATTATTAACCCAGTAATTTTGGTTTTGTCTTGTTTTTAACTTTTTGCCTTTGCTATGGCCAGAAGCAAAGGGCCCTCAGTCCAGTTTGCCATGCCCTTGGGATTAGTTTTGTGGGAGGAAATTTTACAAGTTGAGTTTCTTTATGTGACTTCACCCTCCCAGGAGATGCATAAGAGCTTAAATTTCAACAAAAAGTGTTAAGGGAGTGAAATTCCTTTAGTATCTTCATGCCCTAAAACCAGCACGTTGAACATTTTAGTCAGCATATAATTCTGAGTGCCTACTGTATTCCAGGCATAATAATCAGAACCAAATGTTAGAGATTTTTCAGTAATGCTTAATTACCTGTGGTTGTTTAAAAGAATAAAAGGAGATTAGATCCTTCACTTCTGTCCTCTGATCTGAGACAGCAGGTAAGGGTGACCAGAAGTTGTTGAAAAATGGGCAGAGGAGTTAAGCAACCCTGATAATTCTGGCAATTAATGGGAGCTTTCTTTTAAAATAAACCCTCCAGCTAGTAGGTTTTTTGTCTTTTAGAGGCAAACTGATTTTCATTATTGGAATTTTTCTTTTCAATGAAGAATCCTACAGGAGAAATTAGACCAGCCTGTCTCTGCTCCACCATCACCTAGAGATATCTCCATGGAGATCGATTCTCCAGAAAACATGATGCGCCACATCAGGTTTTTAAAGAATGAAGTCGAGCGGCTGAAGAAGCAACTTAGAGCTGCTCAGTTACAGCGTACGTAGCCTCCATTTTCATTGCTTTCCTGTCTCTAGAATTAATACATTTACCAAATGCAGAGTATTACCCATATTTACCATTGAATTAAATTCATCAAATTCATATTGTAATTAAATTCATGTTTTATTTTATTACTGATACATGCTTACATAAATAGACCTATCATCCTGGAATAGATTTTCATTTAAACATTATAGTAGGGGAGGACAGACCACTTAGAATGCTTCTAGAGAATAATTTAAATAAATTCAGGAGGGTCCAATGTCACAGGTAGTATGTTTGATCCTTTCCCCCATGTTCATCTTGAGGATTGTGCTAATAACAAAAATATTGTAGGAGACCTCAATGTGCTTTTGGAATATTAAGGCAGAATTAGAGTGTTTACATTCCTTACTACTAAATTTAGCCTTAGCTGGCATTTGTTCACAGTATTTGAAGAATAAATGCTTTTGAAATTTATACTTAATATTCTAGAAGAGGCTAAAGATGTTGAGTTGGAAATCAAAGGAGCTGGATTTCTGAATGCTTGATTAGGTCCCTGTGTGTTTTCTTGGGTCTCCGCTATTTCTACTTTTTTGGCTGCTCAAATGTATCTTTTTAAATAGATAATACAGTGAAGGGTATGCAGTGAAAAAATAAGTCTCACTTTCACCCCTGGTCCCCAGGCACTGGTTTCCACAAATACACATTTTTATCGTATTCTTCCAGATAGATGTATCTGTGTATATAAAGTTCTTTTATACAAGTAGTAGTACAAGAAGCATACTGTTTTGCACCTTTCTATTTTTACTGACTATGTCCTCCAGTTTTTCCCTTCCCGTACATACAGGGCTGCCTTAGTCCCTTTTTAAAAATCTACATAGTATTATATTGTATGGATAGAACAACTTTAACTAGCCTCATAATGACGGACCCTTCTCGGTTGTTATGCCGCAACTGCAATGAACGTCTTTGTACACATGGCTGATACCTGTGTAAGAACACCTTCAGGATAGATTTTAGGAAGTAGATTTGCTGGATCAAAAAGAATAAGCATTTAAAATTTCAGTGGTTCTTTGTTTTCTTCTCTGAAGTTCATGGCAAGTTCTAGTACAGTGGTGCATCAGGATCATCCCTGGACATTTAAACAGTATAGCGTGTTAGTTTCCTATTTCTGCTCTAACAGATTACCACACACGTGGTGGCTCAAAACAGTACAAATTTATTGTCTTCCAGTTCTGGAGTCTGCAGTCTGAAATGAGACTCACTGGGCTAAAATCAAGGTGTTGGCAGGGCTGCGTTCCTTCTGGAGGCTTTAGGGGAGAATCTGTTTTCTTGCCTATTCTGTCTTCTAGATGCTGCCTGCATTCCCTGGCTCATGACCCCTGGTTAGCAGTGGAATAAGTCCCACCTCTGCTTCTGTCGTCACATCTCCCTTTATAAGGACCTTTGCAATTATGTTGGGTCCACCTTGATAACCCAGGATTACCTTCCCATCTCCAGGTCTTTAACTTAATCACATCTGCGAAGTCCCTTTTGTCATGAAAGGTAGTAGCATTTATAGGTTCTAGAGTTTACATGTGGACATCTCTAGGGGACCATTGTTCTATCTAACACCACCATATACAGGTCTCTGGGTTTACTCTACAGGTAGAACCTGGTCCACTGAATTAAAAAAAAAAAAAAAGTAATTCTGACATGTACCTCAGGTTGATAACTACGACATATATTCCATGAAAACAAATGAAATAAATCAAATCAAGGAGTTCTCAAATATTAGTTATTTTAAGATGTGTTTCAGTTTTTGTTGTATTGGGTAGACAAATATCTTTTAGCACCTTTCTGAACTCTTTCTGGTGCTGTCAGTTTGCCTTTTTCTTCTCCACTTACACTTGCTATGTTGTGCTTCAAGCAAAATTTTTAGAAGAATTTGGGAAGAGTTTTTTATTTTTACTACTTGCACTGTAGCGCACCATTTGGTCTTTGAGGAGACCGCAGTTACCAACAAGGCATCTGTAAGTGCTATTTTGATTTTGCGAGGACAGAGAAAGCTGAGCTGAAGAAGGGGCAGGTGGCACTGGGCTGCCTGTAGTTGGTTTGGATTGGGCTTAGAGGAAGAGTTAGTGACTTCTCCTCGTCCATCTGCCTCATCCTCCTGGGGTCAGATGACCCTCATCTCCTTTGGATGCCGCAGGCCTCATCTGAGCTTAAACCTCTCTCTCTATAGTTCTCAAATCTGGTTGAACATTGGAATCCCTTGGGAAGCTTTTTAATGTACCAGTAGCCAGGCCTCATCTTCAGGGATTCTGATTTAATTGGTTGGGGTAGGACCTGGGCATCAGTGTTTTCTAACCATAAACTTGAAAGGGAATGCAAAATGTAACAGGCCACCTTTGGATTATTTGAGTCTGTCTGGAAGTCATCTCGGTTGCCACTATCTTTGACTAACTATTGGGAAATGGCTGGAGTTGGGGGAAATAGAGCTGTGGGCCTGAAGTACTAGGGAGCTCTGTGTGAGAGAAGGAAGGAGGATGACTCACGGGAGGAAGTCCAGTCAGGTGTGGCGGTAGGTGTGCCAGCAGAGGGCACCTGAGGAATGCCGGGGTGCCAGCCATCTGTGCCTGGGTCTCTGACACCCAGAGGTGTTGGATCCAGTGTCTTCTCTGAACCTCTGGCTTCTGGGTTAATTGCTGCATTGTCAGGAAGTCTTCAGCCATCACTTCAGGTGACAATCTCATCTGTAGATTATCGTTTAAGGATCCTCGTGTGGATTCCCCAGGTGGTAAGGATTGCTATTTTCTTTGAAAGACCATGTTTTCTCTTAAATTATTGTTCTTGGGGCCTCATGAATCTTCAATTCTGTGAAGCTTTCCCATTTATGGAAAAGAAAGTCAACTTGCTCGGACAGTCATCTTTCTATTTCAGAAAACAGTAAATACTCCAAGGGGCCAATCAAGTGCTTCCTGTAGAGCTAAGTGAAAAATTCTGCATGCTTGCATATTTGGGCTGAAATAACAAATCATTTATATTAAAAGTGCACTTTGTAAATGTTTTCCCAGCATGCCTTCAACTAAAGAGATTTTTGCATCTGGATTAGACAGCGGGGTTTCTGGCTATATTGAAAACAAATGAGAGATTTAGTGTTTTGTGCACATAATAGTGTTTAATAATTTTGGTATTTTTATTTGAATTTCTAAAATAAGGATTTTCAAGAGCTTTTATATATTCTGTAATGATGCTGTTTTGGAAATCATTGAATACCTATCATCAAATGTCATTATTTGCTGAAATGCCAGGCCTTCATCGAGTTGCTAAAGACTGAAACTAATTTTCCATGCTTTGGGAGTTGAAGTAGGGTCAGTTCTTGGGAGAGAAGTGCTCAATGTGGCATTCAGCTCTTTCCATCTTTCTTAAATTTGGGCTGGGCCAATAATATGGAGCAGCACACAATAGGAAACACTCAGACATGTTCATGGCCACTCTGAATTTGTAGCTATTTCTCAGAAACGAGAAGTATATGAAGATTTTACTTTTCCCAAGTTCATTGATTGGGGCAAGGAAAAGGAAGGAAGCAAACACTGAGTTTTATATTAGGGTTATTTTTGTTACTTGGTAACAACAGATTCCATCTGAGATAAAGCAGAAAGGGAGGGGTATGGGACAGGAGGTGGGGGAGACATGTTTTGCCTTTTTTTGGAAGAGTGCTGGAGTGTGCCACAGAATCCTGAAAAGAATTATCTCAGAAGGGTAGGGGTTGGGATTAGCAGAAGGAGATTGTGGAGCTCCGTGAAGATGTCAGCTCCCATTTCAGATTCCTGGGGGAGAGAATCTAAGCAGCTCAGCCTGGGTGCAGCGTGTAGCCCTGAGGTGAGGTGTTAGAGCTAACTGTTACCATGTGTGTTCTTCTAGTACCCTGTTCTCGGTGTGCCTCTGCTGCCATGCACGGTGGGTGTGCTCACAAGTGTCACAAGCTCCCATGCAGGACTCTCTCTGCGCCTGGAGTTGGGAGGCAGCTGAATTGGTGCTTCGAGGGGAGCCCGTGGGCGGAGTCTATCTCCCTGACCCCTTCCTCCCAACAGCTCTGGCAGCCGCCACCTCGGACTCAGCTACAGTTGCTCTGTTTCCTCTTCCACTTACAGCACTTGAGAACGCAGGAGAGTGGGAGTGAAGATTAAGAACCTCCTGGCACTGTCTTTTATATATTTTTTCTAAATGCAAATCATTGTTAAACTTTGATGTTTGGGATAAACTTTGAGTCCCGACCTCATCTGTGTGTGAGAGCGAGAAAGACTGTCTCGCAACAGGTCCCTCTGTCAGTGGCACAGGGGCTGACCTGACCTGAAGCCTCCTTTTGTAAGATTTGGGTTTGATCATGCAAAATGTGGTTTAATTTGAGAACTCTGGCTTTTCAGATTCAGAGAAAATGGCACAGTACCTGGAGGAGGAACGTCACATGAGGGAAGAGAACTTGAGGCTGCAGAGGAAGCTTCAGAGAGAGATGGAGAGAAGAGAAGCCCTCTGTCGCCAGCTCTCAGAGAGCGAGTCCAGCCTAGAGATGGATGACGAGAGGTGGGTGCATGGCCTTCCTACGAGTCTTGTAAAACAAAAAAGAGGGGAAAAGCCTCCACGAGACCTCTCTTTGCATCCTGTTAGATGTGGAAAGGAGATGGCTTAAACATGTACTTATTGTGATGATGGGTTACCACCACATTGTAGGAGATGCTAAGAATGGGATAAGTGAAGAGGATTGAATGTTTTCCTTAAACACAAAAGAAGAAAACAAAATGCCTCTCTAAGATTATTTTGGGGTGGGGCAGGGCTGGCCAGTTAGCTCAGTTGGTTAGAATGCAGTGTTATAACTTGAAGGTTGAGAGTTCAGATCTACCTACTGGCTGGCCGCCAAAAATAGATCCATAAAAATAAATAAATTTGGTAGGGAGAGATATGGAGGGCAGAGGGTTATATGTAGATAGGCGGCAGAGTTTGCATTTTTATTGGATTAGTTTACGCCTGTGTTATATCCATTTAAAGCCCGGGAGTGTCTGAATTCCTATGCAGTCTACATATAGCAAGCTGTAGCGCAGCTTGAGGACACAAATGCAGGCATGGGTTGAAAGAACCAGCAGGAGACAGGTGGAGGTTATTGATATCCCATGGACTTGCCTTGACACACTTGATAACTTTTGAACCTTTTTGCAGCTGCTTTTTAAAAATCAGACTAGCATTGCATTCATCTGTTCAAGCCTAAGCACTGAACTCCCTCACTGCCCCCCTATGAATGGGCTGAAATAAGAGTCATCCTTTGGTTAACCAGAGGAAATGCTCTCAGCATTTGTCTCTCATCCAGATGCCCCTTCCTCTCCTTCCTCCTCTGAACTTGGAAATAAGGTGGTGGTTAAGATAAGCAACACAAATATAAATCTAAAAAATTGTATTAATCAGCAGAGAAACCCAGCAGTTAGGGAATTAGCCTTTCTCTGAACCAGATCATTTCTGTAGAAAAATTCCCCCTTCTGGGTCAGGGATGCCCTTGCCTTACGTGGGCCATATTTCAGTGTGAGAGGTGAGACTGCACATCCTCAGGGGACCCTCCAACAGTGCTGGTCAGCCAGTGTCTGAGAGCAGGGTCTGCTAATGGCTATGACAAATAGTGCTGTCTGTTGATGCCAGAACATATTGTCTGAAAACACATAGGCAATAATTAGCACTTCAGCACTATGTGGAATAGATCCAGAGGGCTAACAAAGCTTTTGACCAATTTGCTATGGACAGTGGTATTATCATTTCAAGAAAAATGTTAGATTTTCTATAATAAAAGTCTATATTTTTATAAAGAGAAAAATTTATAAAAATAGAATAAGTTATCCTATTTAAAATATCTATGTGTATGCTACCTCATTTAAAAAGAATAACGATATCTTTTCTCAGGTTTGTATTATAAAACTACCATTCTTAATTCTAAATTTCACTGATCTATTTCTGATAGTTTCTTATTCTGTCTAAACTCCTTATCCTCTGAGAACTAAAAATGTCAACTAGAATACTAAATAGCTTATTAACTACATTATTAACTTTAAGAGACAGAGCAGAGCATGTGTTAACATATGTAGCACCCTGTATCCAATTTTGAATGAGACACACTGTAAGGGACACTTTCTTCTGACTACAATGACTTCAGGCTTCCAGATAAATAACTTTTTTTCCAGTACTGGTATGCACTCCAAAAGGTTTGCCTTACCTTTTATAGGTCAGATTATCCCAGATAGAGTACAGCTGCCCAGTAAATATTTCTTTCCCTACTAGGAAAGATGATGACATATTTGGGAGAAAGAAAATAGTCTGACACTTAGGACCACGAGGCAGTACTAGTTGCCTCGCTGGATGTAGAATACAAGGAAAAGTCCAACCTCGTGCCACTATGGTGGGCTGCTCCAAAGAGGATAGGAAGAATCGATAGCATATATTTAGTTGAGATACATGTCAAATTAGGGAGCCTGGTTTTGTTCAAGTCAAACAAACCTGCTTAGAAATGGCTGAGTTAGAGTTTAAACGTGAACTAGTTGAGTGCCAGGGCTGAGATACAGGTGTATGCCTGTGTGGCCGCAAGGCCTGCGAAGGATGGTTTATCAGGAATTCTCTCAAGCAGAAATTTCTCCTCGTCAGCACTCTGTGCTTGGTTCACAAAATGAAAGCTGATGTTGCTGATGATCATGCTTCAGAATTCTCAGGTCTAATGTGACTTCTGAGTCCAGGAAGAAGTCAGACTTGGCACAGTGTGGCTAAGCGTGATCTGACATAGGTGCTCAGTAGTTGTGTATTTTATTACGTTCTAACGTGTGGCTGCTTGTTAGGCAAGGCTCACCTTGTAAACTATTGATGTTCAGTTTGTGGGAGTACATATATTTAAGCTTTAATTTGATGACATAAATCTCAGAGGGCTTGCTTGGTTTTGAGTTTCAAATAACAGTGTGAATGTAACCATTAAAAAGTGGACGACTTTGTAATTCTTGGGACAGTGGAATTTCTGTACAGCTGTTGTGTGACAGAGAAAAGGCTGGTCCTCTGTGTTGTATGGCTAAGCTCTGTCACCAGGCCTCCAGCCTGAGCTAAAACAACCTGCATTTTTTTTTTTTTCCTTTTTGTCTTTTTTACTGACCGGTAACGGGATCGCAACCCTCTCCAGTGCGCCACCGGGCCGGCCCAACAACCTGGATTTTTTAACCTGTGCTTTGGGGGGAGTGAGGTTTGCCAGACGGTGAAGCAGTGTGACCTGGTGAACCATTTTATAAATATCTTTTAGCTATAGCATCACTCTCTAGGCATTTGGGATTTTGACCTCAAGATGGGAACCCCAAATATTTTCTCATAGGAAAAAAACTCTCTTAAGAACTATTTAAATGCAGGTGGTTTGATCATTTTCCCCTCTCTCCTCTTAGGTATTTCAATGAAATGTCTGCACAAGGACTAAGACCTCGCACTGTGTCCAGCCCAATCCCTTACACACCTTCTCCGAGTTCAAGCAGGCCTATATCACCCGGTGAGTACCTGTCTTCCGCTACTACAGTGACTGATTTCTGGTACATTTAATAGGCAGTCCTGATGGGGTTCCCTTCGAGCATATAAAAATCTTGTAAACAGATAATTGTCATGTGTTTTTAAAAACATCAAAAACAAATCACTATCAAAACTAAGAGTTTTAGCTTGAAAATTTGAAGCATAAATGCCATAGTGCCAGTTGATGTTTCTCATCATTTCTTTTTTTAATCTAAAAGGAATTTGACCCCAAACACCTTTTTGTCTGTGACTATGATTTTATGTGGCAATGGATGAACAAAAACCTTGGCTAGCTTTCCCAGGTGCATCGTAGCGCATCTTATATGGGTCCTTTTAGTCTATTCCACGTGCATTATCTCATTTTTATTCTCAGGATAATTAATGTAGGCATCACTTTGCTTGTGTTAAAATGAAGGAAACAGCGATGAAAAGGTTCACTACTGGTCACACTGTCTGGAAGTGGCAAGGCAGGGAGTACCTGTGTCCGAAGCCAGAGTTCCTTCTTGCCTGAGTTCTTTCTAGCCTGAGCTGCCTCCTCACATTTCCTAATGATTCCTGAGCAGTCCTTGGCCCCAGAAGGCAGGCCGTACAAGAAAGAAAGAATTTCTGTCTGGCGGTCTGCTTCTAGCTTTCTCTTGGAAGCCTTTGCCTCAAAGGCAGACTTGTCTTCATCTGAGCCCAAAAACTCTCTCCCCAGGGTGTCTGGCTCAGTGCCAGCTCTGTGGGGAGCTCCCGGGCCAGGAGGGCAAGTCAGTGATCCAGCAAAGGAGGGAGACGGAGCAGAGGAAGGGGGGGAAGAAAAGGTAGCGGGCTGCAGGATTGTGTCTTGTGACTGCAAAGTGAGACCAATTTTCTTGTGCTTGCTAGTAAGCAGATTTTAAACAGAGCTGGGGAAAATAATGTGTGGGGGTGGGGAAGGGAACGCAGGAGGAGTTTCACAGTAGAATAGAGTGAGGTGACTACCTCGAAGGGTAGCAGCACAGAGGTTCTGTTGTAAAGCAAAACAGCTTTGCGTTAGGGTGTCAGCATCTTATTTGGTCTGTTATCCTGCCCGTAAGGCCAATGTAGGGGAAGTGGTGCTGTCATGTGGGTTGCCATAGATAAGTGTGAGATAGAAATGGCTTGGTTTTATGAGTTTAGGATCAAGCCCAGCACACTGTGCTGCTGTAACTTTTTTTTTTTTTTTTTAAAGAGAAAAATCAAAAGATAGAAAGTCCAATAGAAAGAGTGGCAGCTTTTGTGTACTTCATGCCGCCTTGCTCTCTGGCGTCAGGCGTGGGTAAAGAGGGGTGACCCCAGGCCAAAAGGACCTTCTATCATGGATCAGTGGCACAATCATCACCCCTTGTTCTTGCCTAGAGGATGTTCCTGAGTGTTTCTCCTACTCTTTGGTGGCCTTAAGTCTCTCTCCAAAAGCTTCTCTTCCTAGCTCCCTTTCAGTTTTCCCAAAATAGCACTTGGGTTTTATTATCATGATAAAGGTCTTTTTTTGCCTTCTCATTTATTGATGTAAAAGGAAGAAGCAAGATGATGGGTTATTTTGTAGTCAATGGTGATGTTGATTAATATTAGATATAGTTTAATATCCTGTTTATTTAAACCTAAAGAAATATTTAGAGGTGTGTGATTTTGAATAGATTAAAACTAGTGTTGCAGTCACTGAAAAAAGAAAAACAGATGGCAGACCTTGGTTGGGAATGTTACTTCCATTATAATAAGTATTCTGCAGAAAAATCTTATTCCATTTACATGATTTTGACTCTGACTGCACCTTGTTCCTGCAGTGGGACCTACTTCAAGTGTGGGGTTTTCCCTTAAACTATGTAATAATAACACCTAGATTTTTTTTTCCTTTCAGCTAGCCTATGTGAGAATATTTTAATTTTAAGTTCTATAATGTCATCAAAGTAGACTTTATCTACTATTTGGCAGCAGAATTACTCCCTCCTAGTCTAGTACGTTGCAATGCTATACGTAGTAGATCAACATAGTCTAAATGTTCCAGTTTTCTTCTCACTTTAGTTTTTATTAGAAGAATTTGTTTTTCAGTATTAAGAATATCTATCACTTCCTTGCAGAAATAGGTTGTTTGTATAGTTTTTATTTCCATTTTAAATATTTTGGTTCTTCCTCTTCCTTTCCCATTTTTGGTTAACATTGGAAATCTTATATTTTCACCAACTTGTCAAAATATTTTGCATCCTATGTCACTATTTGCTTGAAAGATACATATCCTAGAACTTATGAAAGTTCCTCTTCATGATTATATATGGGCTTATATATGTGAATTATATATAGGAACAGTGTTACTCTTCAACAATTATTTTTTAGGTTGTTCATTATTTTATGCAGCCTAAAAAAAGGACATTCCCAATTAGCATGTAATTGCTGTATTTAAATCAGGGATGAACAATAATGAGATCTAAAAGGGTCTGTACGCCAGTAAATAAAAGTAGATAAAATAATAATAATAAAAATAGGTTTGCACACCAATACCAATGAGTATACACTCGGCACCCAGATCTTGGTTTCTAATTCCATTCTCCAGTGGAAAGAACTAGGACTATTTGGAGAAATGGAAGTTTTAGGGCTGGGACATCTTATAGTACAAGAAAGTAAGGAAGTGCTCAACAACCACAATGATGGGGATATGTCAGAGGGATACAGGAGCTCCCAGACACCAAAAATGGAACAATTTGAGTGCTAAATATTATAATATTAGATTATAATCCAAGCATAAAACAAGTTTACTTAGTCCATACTGACAGAAATAAATGAATAAAAAAACAGGGAAGAAGAGACAAATCTGCTACAGAGAATTCCAAGTGACATATGTAAATACTCCCTCCTCAAGGAGGTGGATATAACTCTGTACTCCTTAAGTGTGGGCTCTGCGATTATAATATTTAGAGGTAAAGTATAGGAGGAAAACCTGGCAAAGGAGACCAGGAAGTTGCTACTAGAAAAGTGGAAAGCACATTGGTATATGATGTCACTGAAGTCAAGACAAAGTGTCTCAACAAGAAGGGAGTGGTCAGCTGTGTCAGCTGTAAGGTAAAGTAAAATGAGAAGTGGAGATCAGCAGCTGCATCTGGCAACGTGGAACTCACTGCAGCCCTTATCTGGAGAGGTTTGATGGAGTGGCAAGGACAGAAGCCAGCCAGGTCAGGGGAGTTAAAGAGGAAATTGTGTCTAAATGGTTTGCATTTTTACAAAGAGGATGTTTTCATATGTGACTTGTGTGTGTAAAATAATTTTAAAAGGAAAAAAAGGTCTGTCTTTAATTTGTTTCCACGATTTTTTTTCTTTAGCAAAGAAATATTAAAGAAAATTTGGGGCCATCAGAAAGATATAAAGAAGCAGAAATAGTCATCAAGAATCTTTCCATCTAAAAATGATGTTAATATTTTAGTGTTTTCTTGTGTCTTTCTCTCCTGACCCCTGCCCCTTGTGATTTTACTTTAGAGGGTCGGTTTCGTATGTATTATGAAGTACTTTTGTATCTTGCTTTATTTTGCTTAGGGTTCTTTTGGGGGGAGTCATGAATTGCTTTTAGTCATCTTTGAAATTTGCAGTCTTGAACTTGGCAGCAAAATTGTGAAATAAATCTTGAATTTTTTTGCTTTAGTTAATGCATTTTCATATCAAAGCAAGAAGTTTATTCCAGCAACAGCTTCGTAAAACCATAATATTCTACTTAATAAGTTGATATTTGCAGTTTAACAATTTCAACATAGGTTTTTGGAATTTTTATTCTTTATTATATTCTTGGGTGAGATGGTAAGATGCCTGATGATTAGAACTTAAGGGAAAACAAAAATTAGTAAGACATTATCCCTGGCCTCTAAGAGTTTATAATCAACAACAGGACCTGGGGAAGTAGGTAAAAATAAATAGAATGGGCCACAATAATCAACCACATTGTATATTGACAAAATAAAAATTTAAAAAAAATTTTAAAAAAAGCAGGAGAAAAAAAAGAAAATTTATAAATTTTATATATTTTATACACTTAAGGTAAGTTAACAAATGGC